TTAAAAAACTAAAATTTTTTTAATTTTTTATTAATTTTTTTTAAAAAATTGAACTAATTTGAATTTTTTTTAAAAAATATTAAATCAAGAAATCATAAAAATTTTTTTTAAAAATATGTTATATAAATACTCAGGTATAATATATATATTTTTGATTGTTTATTAATATGTAAAATTTTGGGTTATTGTATTTAATTTAATGTGTATCAGGATGGTGTATTATGCTTAATGAAATTACCAATATTATTATAACACTGAACAAGTTTTCCACAAAACCGATCAAGCCTGAACCAAAACCTGCTCAGCTGTTTTCATAATTCCGGAACAACTGAAAACATTGCTGATGACCAAATCGATAAGTTACCGAATCGGAATCTATAAGTAACTGACTAAGGTGAACTCAGAAACTTATCGATTCAGTCATTAGAAATTTTTTCAAGTTCCAGAATTTATAAAAACAGCTGTAGAATTGACAGAGCCTGGGTCTTAGATGATGGATACCTGAATGACTCACATAAACCACATATAATATATTAATTATCTGTTCTTGAATGAGTAGAATGTTAGTATTCATATAAGTTATCTTAATTCTTTGTGTCAAACATATTTCTTTCACCAATAAGATTTTAACAGTTATATTATCATCAACATATGGGAGAATTTGCTTCCATTAAATTGACCAATTAAATTTAGGATCAGTCAGATGATCAGTATGCATATGGGCTGATTTGACTCCATTTAATGATTATTTGTGATATTTGCAAATAAGATCTTCAAATTTGCGCCAATCAAATAAATTTGTTCTATGTAAAATTTATGATTATTGTGAATTTGTCCTACACTAAAAATCAATTTTACGATCAGATGATTTCTAACTAATCACAAACAATTATCTCTCTTGAATTTGCGGTTTATAAATTGGTTATAGATAGGTTTTTGTTAAAATGAGTAGAAATAAGTAAAAATAGGTAGAAATGAGCAAAAGGTATTGAAACTAAAAATATTAGCTTTTAAATAAGATTTTATATCAGTTTTTCTGTCTTTTTTTTATTTATTTATTTTTTTTAGCAACTTCATATTTACAAACCTCTTTTTTAAAGTTTTTAGACTATCACACTATATATAAATTATATAGAAGATCGAGAGACAAAAATTTTGAAATATTTTATTATGTAACAAATATTTTTAAAAGTACAGGTGTAAAGTAAAATACTTTTAGTGAAAAAACTTTATTATTAAAAGCCTTAAAAATTATCCTTCATGTAATAAATTTGTATGCAATTTTATATTATATATCAGATATATTTATAGTATAGTATTAATAGAATAATGTTTCTAAACCCAATTGTCACATCATGTGATATAATTGATTGAAGTCAAATTTGCCTATATGGATATAGTTATATTGTTGATACAAATCTTACTTTGATAATAACCTGTATTAATGATATAATGTTTGTAATACAATAAATTAACTAATATAAAATAGTCAGATGATTAATACATATGGAAACACACATTTCAAATTTGTGACAGGTTACTCTGATAATGATTATACCTGCCTGACACTTACCCCACTGTCAGTTATATATAGAACTGTATCTCTGACTGATTAATTGCATAATTAATAAACTAAAAGTAATTATTAATAAACTTCGTTTATTGTATAATTATTATGATATTCCAATAAAGAGAAATAATATATGAGATGTGGCGACTTAGTGTAGTGGTCTAGTCCTCACCCTCTCCAAGTGGCAGATCTAGAGTTCAAATCCCACTGGCAACGATATTTGAAAAATAGGCCTGTGTTCGGTTAATAGCTATGTTTATCAGTTGGATCTAGAGCTAAATCGGTAACTTTGGTCACACCATCTAGTAATGGGAGCTTTGGTGCAATAAACCTGAGGAACTGGTATAACTAAAAACCCATTTGGCAAGTCCTGAATTTGGAGGTAGCAGTGATCTTTGATGGTACTACAGGAGGGCTGAATTCGAACTGGGGCCTGAGATTGGAGAACTAAGCAAACAGGTCCTTAAGTAGAAGGACACACCAGTTAAACCACTGGGCTGACGCACTGGAAGAAAAGGACATACACTTTGAAAGTATGGACCAAGGGGAGAGTGTCCTTCAGGCATCTAAAGTCTGGGCAGACCAACTCGTCCGAGTTGCTGGCTGGAAGTAAAGGAGGGACCGATAAAGAATTTGGGTAAGAAGACGGTCTGAATGCGGGTACTGGGGTTGTTGTGAACCAGATAAGGGCAAGGAGTATATAATGGGTGCCTAATTAAGAAGGTTGGTACTTGAGAAACGTCTGTAGAATGGCAGCACTCCAAAAAGTGGCATGAGATACAAATATGGAACGGCAGGTCAATATGTACTAATTAAGAAGCTGTTGCAGAACATGCAGGTGAATACATGTGTGGGACATGTACTGCTCTGTTAGGTTTATCTCAAGAATAGATTAGTTTAAGTTAGTAATTCCTAAGGTAGGGTGCTAATTCCTATGGGTAGATACAAAATTTACAACCATATAGGGAGTAATACCTATAGGTTAGAGTTATGATAGAGGTAGTTAGAACCAGATGGTTTAAATGGGTACCCTCCTAGTTGGGGTACAGATATGGCAGATAGTGTAGAACCTTTGGGCGAACTACTTAAATTAGGCACTCAAAAGATGCACATGTGGCATGATGTACCATCGTTGTAACTACATTATAAAACTTCATTTACATTCTAATAAAATGTTCCCCAGGCCAAAGTGGTCTTCTTAATAACAAAAAAAAGAAATAATATATGACTAGTTGTTTCTTTTTGTTTTTATAAATAGAATTATGTCTTTGCTGCTTTTACCTGAATAGGTTTATTTTTTTTTATATACTATATGAAAAGTATCAATATTGTATACAGGACAATTAATTAAAAATTCTCAATATGGAAAGTAATATTTCAAATATAGAAAGCAAAAACTCTAATATGAAAAGCAAAACCTCAAATATAGAAAGCAAACTCTTTAATATAAAAAGCAAAACCTCAAATATGGAAAGCAAAATCTCTAATATAGAAAATTATACCTCAAATACTGTAATATTATAAATTTTATGATATACATTTTTTATTTAACTTACAATATAATTTTATTATTATTAATTGTAGAAATTATACTTACACATAGCATTTTGATAATTTCTAGATCTTTGCTTGGGATTCATTATCATAGGCCTTAAAACAAGTACTTCCATCTAATTATTTGTATCTAATTTAGGATTTTAATAAAATGCAAGCATACCAAATATTCAAAAATTTTAAAATTTCAAATTTTAAATTAGTAAAAAAGAAGAAACATCTGAGTGGATTATGGCATTTTAATCTTATACAAAAATAACTATGTCTCAGACAAGAGGTTATGAAATAAAAGAAAATTGGGTTCTTTTTTATGAGAAGTGCTACTGTATCCATAGCCATGAGGTAAAAAAAAACAAGGCAATGCTAAAATAAAGTGTAATCGATCTTCACATGCAAGAGATACTTATTGTACTACAGAATTTCATATACAATTAGAGTGCCATTGACTTTCATTTACTTATTTATTAGAGATTAATATAATATACGCATATAATCATATTGTTAACTCTGTTAAAGCATTAAGCTTTAGATGTGTTAAAAAAGAAGTGCATAAGAAATTAATTAATTTGTTTAAAAAAGAACATTTACCTTCTTCTGCATTATATACACATAAAGATAAATATTACAAATAATCAAAAGCTGCTAGAAATTCTTACAGACTATACATATAATCCTAATTATAGTTATGTATACAATTTTTTTTAGCAATAAAAAGATAAGAAAATTAGAAACAACAATAAAAAATTGATATTTAAACATCTAAACATTATTGTTAAAAAATATAATAAATCAGAAAATATAAAAGCCATATTGCAGATAATAGGAATTTTTAAGCATCATTAATAAAAAATATTTTAATTTTATTTATTTATTTATTTTATTTTATTTTGATTATCATTTACAATTCCTATTACTAACTATAGAAATATAGCTCACATACTGGAACAGCATTCATTTTATGTATTGTAACAAATCTTATATCCCAAGCAGGAGAGCTATACTATATAGATGCATCAGCATTATTTAATTCTCTCAATACCTCAGTAACACTTTTATACACCAGTTGTGCTGCTGGTGCACTTCCTCTTGGGCTTTTTCTTACCTCAAATGAGACTAAAGTAGAATTGAAAAAGCATTGAATTTATTAAAACAATCCTTCTAATAAATGCTTTTTTTGGATGCAAAGTACAAGTTGAACCAATAATCTTTTTAACAGATGACTCAAGTATAAAACACAATGCTCTAGAAATTTGTTAGCCTAAAGGATCCATCTTTTATACATGTTTTATTTTTTACAGATGGTTCTATGATACTAAACATAAGATCAAAAAAGAAGATCAACCACTAATTATAAATGAAATAAAAAAATCTTGTACACTCTATTAGATTCAGAAATGTACAGTTCCAGCCAGCATAAGATATCCACTTTTTATATATAAATATGAAAATGCTTATAGCTTACAAACAAATGGCTTTAAAAAAAACCTGTCTTACAGATTTGTTGCTTTTAGTCTAAGCTACAATTCTGTAAAAATAGATTTTTAATTTTATTATAAATTTAAAAGGTTATTTAAGTTTAAAGTTAATATGTAATCAAAAAATTGGCGTTTAATATATAAAAAATTGGGTTTATAGATTTTTAACCAATCAGAATTTTTGTTACATGAAAATAGTCAATCAGATTTGAGTAAAAATCCCAAAATTTGGCACTTTTAAAAAAAATATGATATCTTATACTGACCCGAACTGTATATATATTATGATAACTTTTAACAAAATTTTATATTTGTTATTAAATCATCTTGAACTCTTGTGAAAATAGCGACAATTCTGGGCCTTATCATACTGTACAGGCTTGTCTATATATAGTAATAACATGAATAATTATATTAAAAGAAGCTTTGGCATAATAAAGGATATTATATTTGCGAGAACACAAGCCTATAATCTTATACAAGTATTTCAATTCATAATTTTGAGTATGGAGAGGTTTTATAAAAGATGATTACTTGGTATAGTACATAAGCATCCAGAAATTTTATGTATTGCAAAACGATTCTTGTGTCCTGGCTTGGAAACTATAGATGCAAATATGATTCAAAAAATGAATGTAAAAAATGAGTCTTCAATATTAAGTACAAAGGAAAATAATATTTATATTGTTAATAGTGAAATCGGAGCCTTCTCATACACCATTGGAATGTCTAGTACTCCTTGTAAACACCAAGGGGCTGTTTTAATAAAATTTTATATTTTGATAGCTAAGGCCATACAAATTTAATTACTTGGTTTTTATAACATGAAACTTTTAAATAGACCCAACCAGCCAGCTTTTTTAAAATTTCATATATAAAATTTATAATTTTTTTTTTTTTTAAAACCCACCTGGTTATTAAAACATATAAAAATTTTTTTTTGAAATTTTCAAATTTTGACCTGGCTGGGTTATGAAAACCAATTAATTAATTTTGCATGGCCTAATATTGTTTTATCATTAGGGCCAGATGATCGAATAGTTTATGCTTACATAGCACTTGGTAAGTAAATTATATAGCACAAGTAAAAATAATTTTTTTAGCCTACACACATATTTTATTTTATCTTATATATTTTAGTGATATCTAAATATATTTTTTATTATTTGCAAATGATCATGTTTTGAAAATAATATTTATTTTTTTATTTTAATTTTTTTTTTTGTCAGGCTATATTTCTGAAAACAGATCATTCTATGCATCATTATATGCACAACCAGCAAACAAAAACACACACACAGAAATAGAAATATCAAGCGACAATTTCAATAAAACATTAAGTAATAGTTTAATTAATGAAACATTAAGCGATAGTTTAATTGATGAAACATTAAGCGATAGTTTAATTAATGAAACATTAACAATAGTTTAATCGCTAATAAGTAAGTTTTTGGTTTATTTGCTATTAAATTACAAGTAAAGAGTTTGGAAGTGTTAACCTTTCTTATACTAACACCAGAGATCCAAATAAAATGAACGAAACTACAGAAATAGATATTTCAGAATTTTCTTTATTTTTAGAAGTTATAAAGTCTGATTATCAAAATGCAGGCCAAACTTTACAAATTGCTTTAGACAAATTCAAAGATCGCTATAATGCAGCAAGATTAAAATCTGTCTCCCGGTTATCTTCTTTTCTTTATGATCTTAACCGTGATTTTGCAAGGTTCAAGTTAAAAGTGGTGCACGCATAAGAGTTCAAGTTGAATCAATTAAGTGACGCAAAAATAAAGAAAATTTGGATTCTAAAGCTATTCCTGCCTGAAAAAAGAGAAAACCGAATAAAAAAGAGCATATTTAAATAAAAATATATTACATAATCAACTGATTGAATTGGCAGAAATTTTTTCCTTTTGCTATCATAGCAATTTGTGTAATTCACAAATTTTATTTTGCTTTTGCTTCTTCATTTTTTTTTTTCCGTTAATGTAATTTGCTTGAATAAGTTTAATTAAAGCATTAATTTATATATTTAGTATAATATAAATAAATATAATTTAGCTGCAAACTTTGGTATATATGCAAATCGTAAATACTTAGTTTTCAATTTCAGCTTGTATTGACGCTAGGGGGCTATAGTAAAGCGTCCGGTGTACATGTTATTTGAAAAATCTGCCGATGATTATCATCGACCAATTTAGAAAATTTAGATCTACAACTTAATCGAATATTTACTTATACAGATTGACTGAAATTCAACATATATGGGAATCCACAGCATTCAACTATAAACAGTACTAAAATATATAAATTTGGAATAACGCCAAAATTTGCGAAAACAATCAAGTTTTAATAGAAAAGCTTTGATTATTAGAGATAGTTAATTCAGAGAACATATTATTCTCACAACAATCGAAATTTTTATATTATACCATGAAAAATGAAATGTACTATTATTCGAAAATGTATTTAAATACTGATATTTTACTTTAGTTATTCTTGTAGACTATTACGATAAAAATTTAATATTTTACCGATTACCACTTTATAATTTTATAACTTGATATTCGTGATATACGTTTGAAACTAAATACAACACCTTTCACAAAATACTACTTAAACTAGGTGCATATAATTTGAATATTAGTTTAGCTATACTCGTACTTGTAGCATATATTATCATATTTTATTTACTGTATTAAATATTATAACTTATCGCATTATATTAAATAAACTGTTTTATAAAATATAAACTAAGACTTGTATAAGTAATTTATCAAGTGAAATATACCGTTGAATAAGACTTTTGTTGAATATATCCAAAAGTAATAAAAACCTTTTGCACATACTAGCAAAGGTTATCATCGAAAAAGTTAACTAGTATACTTAACTGTAACCACTACCGGACTAAAGTCGTAACTAAACAACAGGAGTGAATTAGCGTGCACAACTGTGTAAAAAATCTAAGAATAGCTACCTTAGACAACATACTATATTCGACAATAGTGTTAACACAATAGATGATATAAACATAAACAATAACTAAATGAAAAACGTATTCACCACAATC